GTCATCTGCATAGAGGGATAATTTTACTTCCTCTTTGCCAATTTGTATACATTTGTTTTTTATGGTTAAAAGTTTTAAACATCCCAAGTGTAGAGAAATAGTATGACCACCATGTATCTATAATTTAGATTTAATGACCGTCCACATTTGTCCTGGTTGTTTCATGCAACCTTGTTGATTTCAGCTACAGCTTAACTTTTTTTTTTTTTTAAATTTTTATTGTATTACTTTTATGTGTACCGTCAAATCAGATCTGACTGGTACAGGAGGAGATTGCCCCCTCCTCTAGCAGAGCATCTGGTGGATTTGAACCATGTATCTCTGGGATTGCAGTGCAGCATCGTGCCACTAGGCCACCAGAGCTCCCTTCAGCTGAACTATTTTAAAGCACTCTTAGATCCCATATAATTTTATCCCTGTAGTCTTTTTTTTTTAAGTCCCTATAGCCTTTTTTTTAAAATCCCTATGATCTTAATTGTTGTTAATTGCTGTTAAGTGTTCTAGTTACTCCTGACCCCACATATGCAGAGTGAAAGTGTTCTGTAGGGTTTACAAGGCCCCCTTTGGAAGCAGATTGTTAGATCTGATTTCTGAAATCTGCACTGGTAAATTTGTAACAATAGCCTTAAAGATGTTTGGTAATCACATTAGAACATCTAACAAAGTTAAATTTCTTGATATCAAGGAGTACTAGTGGTGCTATGATTAAAGTGCTAGTATGCTAATTTAGAGGTCAGTAGTTTGAAAACTCAGCAGCCTCTGCTGAGAAAGATGTAGCAGTCAGCTTCTGTAAAGATTTACAGCCTTAGAAGCTCTTTACGGCAGCGCTGCTTTGTCCTGTAGAGTTTCTAGAGTTGTTATAGATTCAGTGACAGCAGTTTGATTCTTGGTATGATTTAATGCCAGTCTGTATTTGGATTTACCTTACTGTCCCATGAACCAACAAAATTAGCAATAACTCCTTAACTGTTGTTGTTAGATGCCTTCAAATCAGCTCCAGCTCAAAGCTACTTTGTGTACAATAGATTTGAAAGGCTGCCTATTCAACACTATCTCTTCTGTGCATACATTGTTGCAATCACTGTAGCATCCAATACCCAGTCCATATTTTAAAAAAATCCTTGCTTGACTCAAGAATGCTTTTTATAATTGGCTTGCTGAAATCAGTAACCAGATAGGGTACACACAAACAAATCTTAACCCAGATCAGGATTTCTCAGCTTCAATGTTTTAAGACATTTGGGCAAGACTGGTGGCCTGGCTTTGCATTGAAGGTTGTTTGGCAATTCTGACTTCTTCCTACTAAATGACAGTATCAGTCTCTAGATTTTGACAACCAAGAATGTTTCCAGACATTGCCAGATGTCTTCTGGGTGGGTGGGATGAAGTTGTTGTTACGTGTCATTGAGTCTCCTGCAACTAATAGCAACCCTATACAGCAGCTCTGAAGCCTGCCCCGTCCTGAGCCAGTCTCACTGACTCCAGTACACCTACCACCATTGCCCTAGTTCCTCTATCAGTCCATCTCACCTGGGGTCTTCCTCTCCTGTATTGTCCTTCCACCCATCTGAGCATGATGTCCTTCTCCGAGGACCAGTCCCTCCAGGTAGAAACTTGTTTTCACCCTCTCCAAGACAGACAAGGATGAAGTTAGGGGTGGACAAAATTACCCTTGGTTGAAAACCCATGATCTAAATCGGTCTTTCGTGCTTTTTTCACTCTATCCCATTGAATGAATGAAAAAAATTCCATATACATTGCCTTGTAGAATGTCCTACTTTCTGAATTTCTCTCTTTGCTTGCCCCTTACAGTGTTCTTTGATTTGTTCTTTTCATGTTGGGTTTTTTTTTCTCTGTAAACTAGAGGTTGACTAGAGGCATCTTAAATTTAAGTTCAGTTTTCTTGTGCAAACTTTTTAAAAATAGGTGGTGGGTAATTAATATGTATCCACAAGAAGGCACAGAATGCCTCCACTGTAAAGCTTCCCATCTGCTTTGCATCTAATATTTAATCCAGTGGTTCATCTGCTGATGACATTTACCTAATAAACACTTGGATTGGAGTGCAGCATGGTAATTTTTTTTTGTTGTTATTTATTCCACGTTTATTACATGTACTTCTTCTGTACTGAAAGATTAAACCTTATGAACTTAGGGCTGGTTAGTAGAACTGCACTTCACTCACTAATGTTCAGTTGGAACCAGCTCAGAGCTGAGCCTCCATTGGTTTCCAAGGCTGTAAATGGCATGGAAAGAGATTGCCCATCTTTCTCCTGCCAGCATTGTGGGTGGACTCCAATCCCCAGAAAGGCTGGACTTTTGTATTAGCAGAGTAACCCCTCCAGTTTATGCCACCGTATCCCTAGAAATGCAGTTTGTAGCAAAACAAGGGTAAAGTGTTTTTATTTTTTCATTTAATTTCTAATATTCAGAGTAAAGCATTGGTGTTTAGGTGACTTACTAGGTAAAGTGCACAGCAGTGTATTTCATTATTCCTACTCATTTATTGGCACTCCAGTTACCAAATAATTTGTATTTATGACAGTAGTAAAAAACAACAATACAGCGGAGGGAGCTCTGGTGGCCTAGTGGCAAGAAGCTGCAACTGCAATGCCAGACATTTGTGGTTTGAATCCACCAGGTGCTCTGCTGGAGAAGGCGGGGCAATCTCCTCCTGTACCAGTCAGATCCAATTTGACGGTACACGCACAAAAAAAAAAAAATTAAAAAAAAAAAGCAAAAAGCAACACAGCAATCCAGGGTCGTACTACTTTTCAAACTAGGAATGTTTGTCTTTACAGCAATGAATGCTGGCATGCGAGGTGAGGCTAATGCTAGGAAAGGTAGAAGACAGAGATGAAGGACAGGGCAAGGTTCCCATTGAGTTGTCATCTCAATAGAACCTACCAGCAAGAATAGTTTATACTGTTTAGTTTGCTGATTGTGCTTTTTCAGTTATATTTGATACTCTAGTCCATAGATCAGGGTTACAGTTTCTTTCATTGATGGCATTTACTAAATTGGAATTGTTATGCCTTGGTCCTCGATCCATCTTGGATTAGATTTTAGATATCGTCTAAGGTATGGAACTTGTTTCCATTTTCTGCAAACTGATAGCCAGTTTTGCCAGCACCATTTATAATGAAGCTGTCTTTTCTACAGTTTGTGGATTTAATCTCTTTGCCAAAGATCAACTACTGATAGATGGATCGGTTTGTTTCTGAGTTCTTAATGCTTTCCAGTTGGTCTATTTCTCTTGTCACGGTACCAGTCAGTACCACACTATTTTGGTCCATGTGGCTGTTCAGTAGATTTTGAGATCACTAAGCATACAGCCTCCTATTTTATTTTATTATTTTCTTGTAGTGCTTTGCTTATCTTTCCTTTCCATTTAAAGTTGATGATTAATCCCTTTCCATCTCTTTGAAGAACGATGAGACGGTCTGAACTGGGATTACATTTTCTCTGCTGTTTGCTTCTGGTGGTTGTTGTAGTTAGGTGCCTTTCCTTACATGTAGGTAGGTGCATGAACACAGACAAAAATGAGGCAAAACAAGTTACAGAGATAAAAGGTTTGCCAGTAACACAAGGTCCTTGTGCTATCCAAATCCAGCTGCCCCACCAGCCAAGATGCTGTGTTTGAGTATTAGCTAATTGAGAAGCAGAAGCACATAGAAGAGCAATGTGAACTTGAATACCCTCCATTTTCTATCTTTTACATCCCTGAACAGGATTTAGGAATAATACCCATGTTGTCCCCCTCCCCCCCTTACTGTGAAAAATAATATTTTGCCCCAAGTCATATACTAGACCCAATACCTGCTGGGCAAGACTGTGAGTTTATTGTTTATTACTGTTAATCCTTAGTGTACTACAGATGTGTTTTCAAATAAAACAGATTTGTGCACAAAAAAAAAAAAAGGATTGCCAGTTAACATTCTTAAAAATATTTTATTCTCAAAAGAAATATATCATCTTACCCCAGTAAGAATAGCAAAATTTAACAGAACAGCAAGCAACAAATGCTGGCGAGGTTGTGGAGAAACTGGAACCCAAATAGTGCAACCACTGTGGAAGGTGATGTGGCACTTTCTCAAAAAGTTGCAAATAGAGATACCATTTGACCCAGCAATTCCAGTACTGGGAATACACCCCAAAGATAGAAGGATGAATGGAAATGGGAAGCAGAGGAAAGAATTGAGAACGATGCTGTTACATTATAGAGTTGTGATGCCTCAAAACATGATAAGAATGAATGTAGAACCAGTTTGTCCTGTAAACTTTTTCTCAAATCACAATAAAAAGTTAATTTAACAAAAAATGATTTTTGTTTTAGGAACAGCAGCAGTATTGGTACCGACAGCATCTCCTTAGTTTGCAGCAAAGGACAAAAGTGCATTTGCCAGGACACAAAAAGAGTAGTCCTGCTGGGACAAAAGATACACCAGAGCCAGTAAAAGAAGACACTACTGTACCTGCCACCAGTCAAGTAGTAGAGCCCCCTGCATCTGAGGAGCCTCCATTACCCCCTTCTAGCGAAGAGGCACCACCTCCTCTCCCACCTGAGGAACCCCAGGTAATCATGTAATTCATTATTAAATGTAATTGTTTGTTAATTGTAATTTATTAAATTGCTCACCTTTTTTAGGTTCATTTATCTGGGTCTTATGTATATGTGAATAAAAAGTACATATAAAATTCTGTTTGTGAATTATCAGATAGATTATATATATATATATTTTTTTAGAGAATACTTTATTAGTTTCTGTAATCAAACCCATGTAGATAAGACCTTACATATTTAATACAGTGCGTTACCCCTGTACAAATGGAAAAGATAGATTATATTTAAAAATGAGTTTTTATCCTACTTTAAGTGAAAGTGAA